CCTCTGCCCTCCTACCACCCCCTGGCCCAGCCACCCTCTGCCCTCTTACCACTCCCTGCCCCAGCCACCCTACCACCCTCTGCCCCAGCCACCCTCCTGCCCTCCTACCATCCTATGCCCCCTACCATCCCCTGCCCTGTCACAGCCACCCTACCACCATCTGCTCCCTACTACCCGTACCCTGTCACTGCCCTCCTACCACCCCCTGCCCAAGCCACCCTCTGCCTCAGCCACACTCTGCCCTCCTACCACCTGTAGCGTTACTCACCTTCTCCAGGGGCCGGCCGCGGTCCTCTCTTCAAGCCGCGCGCGGTCATGCTGCTGCACGAGCCGCGCGCGGCTCATCCGACGGCTCCACTAGCAAGGCGGGCAGTGACCGCGAGAAGCGGTCACGTGTCCCGCCTGAATCTAAGAGCGCGCCGCGAGTCTCGGGCGCGCTCTTAAAGAGACAGTGGGAGCCTAAATTGTCAAAAGGCTCCCATTGGCCCCGTCATACCACACTCCCCATACACTTACCTTTTGGGGGTGTGGATATGACAGGAGCCAATCACATTAGTTTTGAAGCTATTTAAACTTACCTCTCCCTCTACTCCCTGCCCTATCGTGGTTTCTGTATCAGTTCCCTTTAGCGCTTGTTGTGTTCAGTTGTGTTTCTCCGTATTGACCTTGGCTTTGTTTCTGACTACGTTTTCTCTTTATCCTTATCTGTTCTGGTTGTCGGCTTGTTGTTTACTGTGTACCAGACCCCGGCTTGTCCTAGTTTACGCTGTCTCTCTGTACCCTTGATTTCGGATCGTTCCTGACTCTGTCTCCTCTCATATACGTTGAGTCCGGCCATTCTAAGGTCCGTTAGACGTATCTCTCCTCTGTGTTGTCTTCTGTTTAGCTGAATCCTGCGTGTTGGGGTATATTCTCGTTACACCACCCCACTACCCTGTCACTGTCCTCCTACCATCCTCTGCCCCAGCCACCCTCTGCCCTCCTACCACCCCACTACCCTGCCACCCTCTGCCCCCTACCCTGTCACAGCCACCTTACCACCTTCTGCTCCCTACTACCTGTACCCTGTCACTGCCCTCCTGCCACCCCGTGCCCTGTCACAGCCCCCCTACCATCCCCTGCCCTGTCATAACCCCCCCTGCCCCAGGGGAGCCCTACCACCCTCTGCCCTCCTACTGTCCTACCACCCCACTACCCTGTCACAGCCCCCCTACCACCACCTGTCCCACCAACCCCTGCTCCAGCCCCCCCACTACCCCTTGTCCTGTCACAGTCTCCCACCACCTCCTACCCTGTCACAGTCCCCCACCACCTCCTACCCTGTCAAAGCCCCTACCGCACCCCACCCTCTCACAACTCCCCTACCCTGTCACCCCACACCCATCCAATCACAGCCTTCCCACACACACACGCTGTCACAGCCTTCCACCGCACACCATGTCATTCCCCACCCATACCCTATCATTACCACACACACTGACACCCCCTTCACATACACTATCACCATTCAGACCCCACGCACAGTCGCCCCCTAAACCCGGCCAAACTTACATAACCCCTCCTAATCCTGTCACTCTCACCCACTGCAACCATACCAAACTCCTTGCTTTGCCACACCTACCCTATTGCATTAACACCCTCATCAACCCTGTCAGACTCACCTTCTCTTGCACTGTCACACTCACCCCCCGACCCTGTCACTCATCCTCTATAAGTCTGTCCCACTCACCCCCTTCACCCTGCCACACTCACCCTATTACATAAACCCTTACAATTCTGTACTCCAACTGTGCAACACTCACCCCAAACCCTGTCACACATAGGTAGACAATGTCAGATACAGTCATATACACATACACGGCCACTTATGTATATACGACTGCAAGGCTATGTAACCATACCCCTCAGTTATGTATAAACGATTGGCATAATTGCTAATTAAATTTATTTATTGCAAATTAAGTAAGTTTGCATATTATGCCATAACTACAGTCAGAGAGATCACAATGCAGCGGTACAGGGAGCAGCGACACTGCAAGCCTCTGAACGATAAATAAAGAGACTAGCTCTCTGTATCCAGCACTGCAAGCTTGTTCTTCAATACATCTACAGAACCTTATACACACAATGCAACCCCTATTTTTAACTTAAGGTGTTAATGGGGGCCTCATGTTTGAGTTTCGCCTAAGGCCTCACAAAGTCTAGAGCCGCCACTTATTCTACTTTAGGGCCCCCACCCACCACTCAGAGGTGGGGGCCAGCAAAGGGAGGACAATAGGTCCCCCCCTTATTCTAATTTAGGGCCCCCACCCACCGCTCAGGGGTGGGGGCTGTGTGGGAGGACAATAGGTCCCCCCTTATTCTAATTCAGGGCTCCCACCCACCGCTCAGGGGTGGGGGCTGTGTGGGAGGACAATAGGTCCCCCCCTTATTCTAATTTAGGGCCCCCACCCACCGCTCAGGGGGTCTTGTTATATAGGGTTGAACTCATGCTTATTTTACAACCTTGTAATCTTTATTTCTCTCTTCTACTTCTGTCTCTTTCCTTTCCTTCTTTTTTTTTTTTTCTGAAATATTAAACTTAACCTTATTCAGTGCTTATTAATATTTTACCTTGTGATATTTAGTGTTTTCCTCAAGTGAACCATTTCTATTTAAGGGATCGTGATTGATATTTCATAATCAGATAGTCCACTAAAATTGGTCCTTTATTATTCATTTGATCCATATTGTGAAACAATTTAACCATATTTAGAATATATTTATTCTACTTCTTTATAGTAAATACTTTAATTGTGAAATTCCTTAATTGGAGACGGGTAACTTTTGACAGATTTTAGCGCTTTGGTTCTTTAACATATGTTACCTATTAGGGGAGCATCAATACATTTCCCTCTCAATCCATTGATTCTCTCCATATTTACAAAAAAATTAAAAAAAGCACAAAGAATTTCACAAGTTGCCAGAGTGAAAACATTACATATGTACACAATACCCTTTCGATACTGTTACTGAAAACAATTTCAAAAAATAAAACCATGAGCAATAACTTGTATTTGTGAAATAAAATTGCATTATAGGAAAGGGGAGGAAAACAGAGACGAAGAACAAAACAAAAACAGATAGTTATAATTTTAAGTTCTTCCGCTTTTCTCTTTTCTCTTTTCCCCTCTTTTGATTGTAGGTATTTCCATCTCTGCTCTTTCTTATTTTTCCTTGCTCTATCTTCTTTCTTTATGGATCTGTCAGAAGATTGTCTTGTATCCATTAACGTAATGAGTTGGGATCCTGAAAGTCGAATACTTTAGATTGGTAGAATACTAAATTTATTAAAGGGAAGCCCCACTTTTGGCGTATGTACTTATCTCTTAAGTGACTTGTTGATGGTGCAAAAGTTTTTCTTCTATATCTTGTAAAATATGATAGATCTGCAAAAAAAATTTGATCTTATCATATGGATCTTGGAATGTGTGTAGCTTATTATTTGGTCTTTAACTTTGGGGAAGGAAAAAAACGGGCTATTACATCTCTGGGCATGTTGGTAAGTTAGATGGTCTTGAGGTTCTATGGCATCTTTCCATCAATCACTAAAGTGATCCAAGGACATGAAGTCCGAGGAACACAACCAAAGTCCTCTGGGTATGCAAATACATATAAACTAGATTTAAAAACACATTTTATTGTAGAACATAAGTCTCAAAGAAAAAATACTATCCCTAAATGAATCCCATCACATCTAAATTATTGAGGAGAGCTAATGAACCCTGTAGCCTTTATGGGGATATGGGTTGACAGGTGATCAAGGGTTGCTAAATAATGTGCAGTTATACAGTCTAGCGAAGCATGTCTTACAACTTGCTCCAAACCATAAGCACGGTGTCACCCATGAATAGACAACAGTAACTTCTCCTAATAGGTGGCTACAGAGCAGCTTTCTGTGACAGACCTCCCTGTCTCTGGATTATCACTGAAAAACTTGTTCGTCTGTTTGCTCGTCAGTTCCCGGTTGTTCGTCTGTTTCCCTGGTTTCATTCACTAAAACGAACTAACTACCGAATGGCTGGCCACCCAGTGTGCTGCTAGTTAACCTTTTTGACCTCCTTGACACTGTGGTTAACCGCAGCCACTTCCATCTCCCGAACGGTCGGCTGGGTGGTCGTCATTCGTATGTACGAACACGAGGTGGCGGCCATCTTGGAAGTCGATCCTACCCAGCGGTGTTTTGTCGTCTAGCGTCTGGAACGGTTGTCAGGCATGCAATCACACGAACACCGCTGAGAATTCTGTTACGGCTCTCCCGGCATAAACGGGTTAAACCGCCGTTTAGTAGAGCTTCCCTTTTGCGGAGGTACAGGCACAGCTACTATAGGACCCCAAATTCCTGAACTGGAACCAGGGGAATGCTCCAAACTCCCGAACAGTATACCCAGTAGCACTCCAAAGTCCCTAATGGCAATCCCACAAATAGCTGTTAACAGACGAGCAGACACAGCATCCAAGCAGCTTACATTCCCAGCAATCAGTCTCTAACCGCATACAGTAAATCCCCCCCCAATTACGAGACCAAGCTCCGTATTGAGGGTAAAACAGGATTCTGGTTTATTGAGGGCTACCTGCCCAGTATTTATGCAGGTCTCCCTCCTGGTGGACACTCCCCTAGGGGTCCAGTGGGAAGACTATGACAAGGGACAGACACGTAGCAAATCCTGACACACAGATACAAAATATCCCCACAATGCACCACAACTCCTCCCTCTCTGTTCAGGAGATAATTGGGAAATAACTCCATTATCTCCCAGGACAGAGGCAAATCGCCATTGCACACGTGGGGTCAATGATACAGAAAAAGGCAATAAAATATACGATGTGACCAATAATGCAACAATTATACACATGTAACATATCCCCAGATAGCTCAGGTCTGAGCGCAGATTAATACAGAATAGTGCTCAGACCACACGAATACAGTTTAATTGCCATGGAGCCAAAGTCTTTAATTACATGAACAGGCTCCATGGCATGCTACCTGGGTACCCTCATTCCTATAATACAAAGTCCCGAAAGCCGGCGTTCGGTTGAATAACTGGCGCGGGAATCAAGGAAGGCTGGAGGTTCAGGGTGTTTGGTGAGTGAAAGTGTCCACTTTCAGCTCACGGAGTCCTAGCTGAGCACTGTTGGTTGTGATAGAGACTGTAGAACACCGCCATCGTGTGGCAGCTAGGTGTAACTGCGACCACCCGGGAACAGTCAATTAAGGTTAACCGCAGCTACTGGGTGGTCAATTGACAGCACAATTGCTGCAGGGAGATCAATTGGAGGCACACGCCAGCTTCCCGGTGGTCGCGCCTTCGTGAGGCTTTCGGTAGTTTAACAGGGGAACACATAGGGACTGTACAGGCAGGGAAATAAACCGAACAAACAGAGGGAAGATAATTGTAATCCATATACAGACAGTTCTGTTACAACTTCCATCCCACGAGCAGGTCGACTTCCAACCACACGAACACAGCGCTGTTAGGTAGTTTTAGTCACACAAACTATTCCTCGACCAGTTGTATTGTGTGTTTTGTGTAAATTGGTATCCCCAAAAGAGACCGCCCACACAGCCTGACTTCATGGAACTATCCTGGGCAGGCGCCCACTATCCTGGGTCAAATCTTTACCCCGGTGGCGTTTCGGCTTCTTTCGTGGGATCTGAGTGCATTCGACATATGTTGGGCGCTCAGATCCCAGCTACCTGGGGATATAGGAGTCGAGGGGGTACCCCAATGTTAAATGTATTTTGAGGAGTTTTGTAAGATTGTATTTCCTGAACCTGAAGGGTAATGTCTGTGTTCATAACGCGGTGCGCCTTCAGGTCCAGTAGGGAATGCCCCTGGAAAATGTTCTGAGGAAGCCCCTTGCATGGGGACTTACATAAAAGCCAGGCTGTAGCACTCATAAAACCAGTTGATGCTTGACCCTCAACACAGAGCCTCGTCTCGTGCTTAGGGGGATATTTCTTCAAGGTTCCTGTTTAGCGCTTGGGATTATTTGGTAGCAGACTTCGTACTTGGGGGAAAGAACATCCTTTGGCGGCATTAACCCCTTCTCTTACCTGGGGTGCCGCCACACTATCTATATGTAAACAGAGTCTGCAAAGCACCTATAGGTACACTGGAGTCAGCATATGAATTGTAATGCAATACTAAGTAAAGAACACATAATAATCCAGATTATTAACTGGTGTTGGGAAAAATATTATGATTATATAGATCTGTTTAATATGTGCTTGATTAAGTCTGTGTGTATGGGAGGTCAGGAATTATCTTCAAAGGGAGTTTCTGTTTAGATAGTTGGAAGGATACAGCACCTGAAAGGCACCGATCACATTTACATATCAACTGGTCTTCAAAGGAGTCTCTATCTAGGAAAACACACCTTAGGTTAGAGGCAAAGGGATGGCTGGGAGAGTTAACACTTAAATAAAATGACAGAATAGACAACACTTTGGGCCTTGGGAAAGTAAATCACATTTACATATCAATTGAGCTGAGGAATTTGCTATTTACAACATGGGAACCAATTCCTTTAAAAATAGAAGATACTGACATCACATTATATTAGGTTTGGTAAGACATATATGCTGCACACAACAGCTCACAGCACATACACAGTAGATATTATTAGATAGTTGGAATGTGTGAGTGTTATGAATGTATTGTAACTCTGTAATACTATAACTCTGTAACATTCTTCTTCTGTAATATTTAATTGGGCAGATTCTAAGTAAAGATTTCTCTCTGGTAAGAACTATGGTGTTGGCTGTTTATTTGTAATATCGGGTAGAATACCTTAGTAGTGCTAGTCATATATTTATCTGGACAAGGGGATAAAGATATATGTTAGTTCTTGGAAGAGGTTGTAAGGATATGAAATAGTTAACTCTTTTTGCATTATATGCTTTAAAATAATGTTTGAAATAATTATGCTGACCTTGGCAGATGTATTCTGTAACATGCTCTGAGAGGCCTCCCTTCTACAGGATGTATGACCTCACTCGACCTCAGGATGTTCCTGTCCCATCTTTATTCAAATGCTTATCTTTTTAATGTCAGACAAGTATGTACTATTAACTATAAGGAAGCGATAAATCTCGCTGCTTGCGTGACAAACTGTGTATAAATGCTAGCTTTGAAAATATACTCATTGAGAACTTGTTAGAGCACTCTTTCGTGTCTGTCATTATTTGCTAAACAAGAACTCCCATCAATTGATGTGGTGACCAGAGAATCGAGAAGAGTTGAGTCCAGAACAGCATTAACCCTTTCAGCTTGGTGTGAGAAGTGGGATCAGCCATTGGGTAAGTAGCCTTTTGGTGTCTTATTGACGCTGATTGTCTATGACCCCCTTGGTTCAGTAAGTCTGTATCCAGTAGATAGGAAAGGTGAGACTGTAGATAGGTCTTCTTGGTAACCCAGGTTAGTATCTAAGATAGATACAGGGTATCCCAAGTAGATACAGGTTTTTGAGACCATAAGAGGTCTCCGGTTTATTATAGGGTTTTGGTAACCCAGGTTAGTATCTAAGATAGATACAGGGTATCTCAAGTAGATACAGGTTTTGAGACCATAAGAGGTCTCCGGTTTATTAAGACTATAGGTGTTCTGAGGAGCACGGTTTATAGATCTATAAGTATACCCCAAACTTCTCTTTCTCCCGGTCACCTTTGTCTGTCTTAAGTGTTCTTTGTGGGTGATTGTCTATATCGGGGACACACTTTGGTAAGTTAGTAGTGTGTCCGCCCTAGTCAGCAGTATGGGAAATGTGAGTTCAGGTCCTGAGTGACCAATATATATACACACATATATATATATATATATATATATATATATATATATATATATGATACCTGTAACGGACCGGCAATATTAAATCCCACGAATTCTGCTGGTACATACAGTAATCCACAGCCCGCGCTGAAAAGCAAGGCAATATCCCAAATCCCCCAGTAACCGGACGAAACTCAGTTCTGGGACTCAACTGAGGTCTTTATTTGCAGCTCCAGTATTTATACAAGTCCCCATGCAAGGGGTTTCCATACTGCCTTAACAGGGGTAGTACAGTAGGGGACTACATGGGGGACTTCACATTCTGGGCATTTCTCCCATCAGGCACTGCTGCACGAGAGGGATACTCCCACTGGAATATACCGTTAAGTGGATTATCCCTCCGTGCAGCAGAACCGGCAATTTACTTTAAAATATTTAACTTCCTTAATACTTGGTCGATTTACACGAATGGACGTTCGGTAGATAGCTGGGGTCTGAGCACACAGTTCGTGAGCATACCGCTCAGATCTCAGCTAAAATAACCGAACGCCGCACGAAAAACACATTATTTATAACACAGGTTAAAAGTACCGATTGATAGAGGTGGACCAAACTACCGAACGGCCCGGGACTCCCGAACGGTCTGGAAGCTCCGAACGGTCTGGAAACCGTGTTTGCGCTGTCGAGTAGCCATTTTCAGTTCCATGCGCTCGACGACCAAACACCACTGGGGAACAAAGGATCCAAGATGGCCGACCGCCGTGTGGTCGGTAGCCGAACGACGGCCACCTAGGAGAGCCTCTAATTACCGAATGCAACATTGTTGCAATCGGTTAACAAGCGCCACACGTCCCTTAGTGTGTGGGCTATTAAAAGATAGTTCATTCGGTTCACGAACGGCCCGCAAAGGTGCTGTTCGTGAAACGAAATAGAAAATGACTATCTGCTTTTGGCAGATAGCTAATACAGGCAATACAGCATACAGGATACAGTATACAGCAGATTACAACCAGGCACATATACAATGGTATTAAATTTACAGGCAACCCTTAAAAACATATTGTCTCTGTTTAGTCCAAGTGGCTAGGTTTGCCACAATACCAGTACTGTATATTAGAAAATAACTGACTCGCAGGTTGTACCTGATAGACCTACTTAAATCTTTTGCTTTATTCTTTCTGTCGCATAGAAGTATAAGTTTATTACTCTGTTTTATTGTAAGTTATTTCACATGGGATCTGTGTGAATGGTATGATTGTTACTTTAATACCACAAGCCCACTACACTTTCTATGAGAGTGGGATAGTGTAAATGTGTTACATTGTTTGCATGATGAGCTCAGTATTTTTATACTGAGACAAAAAGTCACTTCATTAGTATTTGAAAGTAAATTCCCCGTATCGGATTAATTGTATAGAACACCAATCAGCACATCTTCCCTGCCCTGTGTGTTTGTTGCAGAGGATCCATACTGTAAATATGATTTTTTTTTTTTTGTAAATAAGAGCAACATTTACATTTTCAGCGGTCCAACATATACTTCATTTTGTGCTGTAAGCTAACTTTTTTATTGCTACAGATGCTTTAAATGATCCAGTGCAACACCTACTGCATATGTTTTGTGTCTTCTATGTCTCACATTATATGTGTTCTTTTAAATTGTGGTATATAGCCTGGATCATAGATCATGGACAAAGGTTTCTACCTGTGTTACTAAGGCTCTTGGAGACGGACCGGTCTAAGGTTTGCCATGCCTTTTAACATGGTATAGTATAAATTTTTTTTAAGTCTCTGAGAGTTCTGAAAGATTCGGGTGAAACCATGTCTGTGTAATCTGGTCCAGATGTTTGCTCAATTTCTATAAGATTTAAGTTGATGCAGCATCATCTCAGATTAGTTAATGGAAGTTTCATACAAATATTTGAGTTATGAGCGCGCTATATAAATGGATCCTTTCTTTATATACAATACTATAGTAGATTAAAGTAATGAAGTTAATTAAGAAAAACATGTATACATAAGAATCCCTAAAATAAATCTAATACAAACTAAAATTGGTATACCTTACAATAATATATTCTGAGTACAGCTGTTAACTGTTTATTCTGTGTAAATGGTGATTGTGATAATGTGTGAAGTGTGCAGCTTAACTGGAAAGTAGATTAATTTATATGTTGCTGTGTTGTTTTAAATTATATTTGAGTCAGTTTGTCTCAGTCTAGTGATATTTATAAAAATGCCAGTCAAATAACCTAGCAAATAACAGTTTTATTAGCTGTTGAATACTAGCATTTTGGCCAAGAGTAGTTGGGGTTGGAGTAGTTCTATCAGCTCAGAGAGGCTCTGTGCTGTGGTCTGATATAGCTATATGAGATTTGGAGGTGTTGGTTTAAGACTGCTTTTATATTGTGTCTACCCGTGTTTCCTAGGAGGGACACAGAGTGTGTAGTTGCGTGCCCATGAATGCGTTTTCTGTATTGGCATATCTGCTGGGTATCCATTATGTGTTTTTTTACTACGTCTGTTTTGTGAGATGGTGTGTAATATTACATTGGATGCCGAGTATGAGTTATATGGTTTGAAATGAAAAAGGATTAAATGGACAAGATGTCTCTCCCTCGTAAAGGATTTCTAATAGGGGAGTTGTAAAGGATCCTTCTATTCGTGCAGTACTGATCCTTGTAGCTTCTCCCAAAATCCAGCTGGAACAAAGTGATTATAGCTTCCAATCCCCCAAACATGAGTCGAGACTTCATGAAGGGGTAAAACAATCTGATTTAATGGGGGCTACCTGCCCGGTATTTATGCAGGTCTCCCACCTGGTGGACACTCCCCTAGGGGACCAGATGGAAGACTGGGACAAAAGAATTACAGTAGCCAATCGCAGTGGCTATAACATAAGCACTCCCTCCTTTCCATCCTGGAGATAATTAACTTAAAGTAGTAAAGAGAGCATTAATTATCTCCAGGTAGAAAGAAACATGGCTTTTCCCATATTCACAAAACAGCTTAAAAATCTATAACTTATATTTTACTGAACATAAACTTTAAGTCCCACATACCCCCAGATAGCTTGGATCTGAGTGCATATTCTAGGCAAATAGCGCTCAGATCCCACGAACGCAGTTCTCAATAACGTCAAATGAAGTTTGGACTTCACCGGACGTTCGCGTGTTTGTATCCGACAAAGACTTCCACACTGTAGCTATCTGGGGTCGGTCTCTTTCGCAGAAATCCAAGTCCCGAATGGTGCAATGTCTCCGGTATTCGTGTGTTTTCCACCGTACGAGCGAGGACCTTGGTAAGTATCAGCGGTGTTCGGGAGAATAAGTATCCGAAAAAGTATCCGAAAGAGTGTTCCAGGGCATCGCCGCCATTTACCGCTGGGTGTTCGACAATTTAAAATGGCGACTGCCACGTGTTCGGCAGACGAACGCGGACCACCAAGCTGTTCCCCAATTACTCTGTA